TATATGGGGTATTTTTCCCAACCCTCGGGCATAAAAAGTTACGCACGGACCCGCTGGATTACCACCCAATACTTAGGCAACGGTCGGTGCTTCCACATTTATCTCTGCTGAGGTGGTGGCGGCAATCAGATTCCCCCAAACACACACACACACACACACTGAGAACCCACCATCATTTCCGCCAGACTGCTCCACCACTTTGGCAACAAAATGTCCCACAATTACCACTGAGGCCACATCCACATCTAACGAAGCCGATGATGATTCCTATGACAATTTTCTATAGCTGGCAAGTGGCAACTGCCCCCTGAACTCGGAATCCAGAATCCCGAAACCCCCACCGAATCCAACTGACAATCAGACATTGCCACCGCCACTCGTTGGGCCAGCGAGTCGCCACTGTCCGTGTTTGAGTCCTGGTCCTGGTCCTGGTCCAGGTCCTTGTCCGTCCGTCTGTCTGGCACCCATTCCATTCTTCCGACCGTTATCATGTCTCCAGTTGCAAAGTTTTCTCGTGTAACCAGGCTTTTGGGGCAAAGGGGGATCAGAGGGATTGTGCCAGCAGAGGGGGGCGGGCAGCAGACGGTGGCACGTAACGGATGAATGGACGGACGTGGAGCACCACACCATGGCAATAGCACTCGCACACACACAGTCGCACCACAGGAGAGGCATTGCGGCTAAAAAGCCATACTACTGCGTCGGTCCTGGCAAAGGCAAAAGCAGAAGCCTTCAAGGCAACCAGAACGTAGAACCATCCTCAGCACAGGCATGGAATGCCTAAAGACTGCAACAATGGTTTAATCCTAGGAGTTTGGTTCCTTACAATACCCTATGAAAGGTGATGTGGAAAATAAATGCAGGGTAGCACACAAATCTTTTAAATTTCATATCATATAATTTTAGTTATTAGCTATTACTATTAGTTAAATTAGAAACATATTTTTAAATCAGCGGTCGTCACACAATACAATATTTTGTTTTTCATTTTTATGAGTTGTTTGCTCGGGCAGCTTAACTGTATGTGCCGAACGCTGTTGTACACTGTACGTGTGGCGGCAGAGTTATGTGGTTAGTAGAGTTATTTCCTATGCCTACTTAAAAAGAGGCTCCAGACAGATGCTTTCAATATGTCACTATATCATAATGATGCCCCTGGTCATAAAAACAAAGTTTTCTTTCAAAGTAATGATATAATATCTTTTATAATAACGACAGATCTAATACTTAATGTTACTTTAATATTTTATGGTTAGATAACTTTTCTTAATGTTATGTAATGATATAATTTCTTTAATAATAAGAACAGATATAATATTTAATGTTACTGTAAGATTTTATGGTTAGAAAACAAAAAATTTAAAGATATTTCTGTGGCACCCTTGAGTATATTTGTACAAAATAAAAGGTTAAAATATTTCTGACTCACTAATCGAACCCAGATCTACAGAGATAATGGGTAAGTGAACATCCACGCTCCAGACGACACTTGCCAAGCGCCATGGAAATGGAGAGCAACTGCTGCTGAAGCGCGCCCTTCCGCCGTCCGCACGCCCACATTTTCATCCAAATCCCGGCAAAACAGCTCAAAGGACAACCACCCACCACCCCAGTCAACACCCACGTCCACAACAATAAGGCGTAAGCCCAGACTCGACCTCTGTCTGAGTGGGTTTTCGTTTTCGGTTGGGGTTTGGGTTTGGGTTTCGACCTAGGAGTGGGTATCTATGTGCGAAATCAGCCAACTCAGAAGCAGCCGCCTGTTCGTCTGGCTTCCGTTTGGAGTTGCCTGCAATTATTCCGTTAGTGTTGGGTCACCCACCCACTTGGCCGCCCATCCACCCATCCAACCATCCAGCCATCCGAAAACCCATCCATGCCCATCTTGCCTCCCCTGAAAAAGGCGCGTCCGCATCGCTCGTTACTCACACCAACAAGTGCAGCTGCTGTTTTCCTTGGGGCCCAAAGTCCTCCTGTTGCCGCTGCCGTTGCTGTTTTTGTCGACACTTTTTTCACGGCTTGCTCGCTTGGCTGCTCTTTCGTGCGTTGCCACTGCCAGGAGTCCTTTTTCCCCTACCCCCTGCCCTTCCCAGCCCCACCAGTCCCCCAAATGCAAGCCAACCAAACCAACCGAACCATATCCTAGCCCCCAGAAACTCGCAACCTGCCAAACCAAACCAACCGCATCCCCGCCCAGCCCGCAGGTCCTGCTGCTTGTTTTCCTTGTGGGGGTTCCATCCTCAACCTCCACTTCGTCCTTTTTTGCCTGAAAATCAAAACACACGTCTCGGCGTGCGGCGCACATCTGCATGGAATTTCTAAAGTACGTGCCGCGGACGGGCGGACGGAAGGCAGCCAACGAACGCCGTCGTCCTGGCCCGATGCCATCGCAATGCCACAGCCGGCAGCTTTGGCGTCCTCCTGCCAAAGCACTGGGCACATAGCACATCCGTGGATTACATAGCTGGCCGTACCAGGAGCAGCCAGCCATTCCTATTCCGCCGTCGTCGCCTGTCTGTTTGTATGTATTTGGCGGCATGGCGGCGAGAGCGTGAACCGAAACATGCAGAACCTTTAGTGAAAAGGTACACTGAGCGAAATTAGGATACCTAAACTTGAATATTTTTTAAGCAGGCTTCTTAATTGACAACTTGACAACTTTATATTTTCCATGTCGCATTTTATGTTTTATTAAAATAATATTCCATTGAAAAAATACCTATAAGTTTTAAAACATAAGTATTGATTTACAGGAATAAGTTGCTACTACTTTTTGTATAAGTATATTAGATTCCAAAATTTAAAATTTAGCAAAATTGAAAAGAACTAACATTTTGAAAAATAAAGCTCATCTTAGTGTTAAGATTTAATATTACAAAGGTAATACTGTTAAAAAAAAATATTTATTGGCAACACTTAAATACAAAAAAACAAGGTTCCGTAATGATTTTAGTTTTCAGTTATAAAACAAAATTTTAATTCAAGAACTTTTTTAAATTAAAGTTCAATTTTTTTTAGATTTAACGTTACAAAGGTAATACTGTTTAAAAATTAAATTTATTAGCAAAACTTAATTTTTCTCTTGTGAAACAAAAAATTTAGGTTCCGTAGAAAGACGAAAGTTGTGAACTCAAGAGAATTTTTTTTTCTTTCTAAACTGTAGCAAAACCCAGGCCCTTGAGGTGTAGTAGGAGGGTCCGAGTTCAAACCCTTCCTTAATGAAATGGTACTTTTAGTCTAATTCATTATATTTCAGTTTTGGTTTATTTGAGTGAACTAAAGATAAGTTCAAAATTATTTTTCAGTGTTCATTTGACACTGCACTCAAAAAAAAAATCACCATAAATATTAGAAAATCGCCCGTGATTTCAAAACGCCATTGAATTAAGAAATATTTTCTTGATTATAGAAAAAATGCCTACAATTTAAGGAATTCGCCATAATTTTTTTTTTTTTTGTAATGAAGAAGAGGAAGAATCCCATTTTTTTCTTCAATTAATGGCGAATTTTTCTTGATTTTTTTTCTTGAAATAATGGTAAATTCTTACTTAAATTTAGGAAAGAAATATCCATATTTTAAGAGAAAGTGACTTTTTTTTATACATTTTGATGGTGGTCTAGCTGGTAAAGACGTCCGGTCAATAAACAATCGAACAAAAGTACCTGGTTCGAGCCCACGCCACGGCAAGTGTACCCTTTGTTTATTTATTTATCTTTTTTTTTTAATTTATGTAATTTTTATTCTTATTAGTTTCACTTTTCTATTTACCAAATTGTTTAAACGGTTGTTAAAAAGGTTTAGATTAGAATAAACGTTATTTGTATGCGTAAAGCTGGACCAAAAGCACCTTAGCCCTCTTTAGTCATTGTATGACAAGAAGCACGCGTGGCCGAATGGTTAAGACGTCTTGCTATGGTGTGAGCAGTTGCGGGTTCGAGTTCACGCCGGGGTTGTCTGAGGTAAGGATTTTTCCATTTGTTATATTTATTTATATGTTTATAAAAAGTATTTATATAAAATAAATCTTTAATAAATTCAGGTAAATATAAAAATTTTCAGACTGTAGTATTCCCATGTAATAATTGCCATTAAAATTAGAAACGGTTTTATCCATTTAAAATTCAGCATTGGTATACAAAACCAACCAAATTCCTCAAATGTAAGGTGTAAAATGTAAAATGATGTAATCTTACATCATAAATATTTTTTTTTCTTATTTTAATAAATTTTTCCTTAATTTTAAGGTTTTTTACCATACATTTAAGAAAAATTTGTCATTATTTCCAGAAATGGCAAACCATAAATTCAAGAAAATTATTTATTTAAAATAAAGGTGAGTCGCCGTTGGATGAAAATCATAGGCGATTTTCTTGATTTAAAGGCGAATTTCTTGATTTAAGGGCGATTTTTTTTTTGGGTGTGGCGTTGCGGAGCGCGCGTGCGGTGTTCAAGCCTGGCATTATAATTTCTTGCTTGGCACAGTGGCAACCACACGCACACACACCAACCCACACACACTCACACACCCAACGAGTGGGTCGCACACAGACAGTGGCAGAAACAGGATAAGGCGGGGGGAAACGGGCAACTCACACATACAGGGCGCACATTTTAACACTCTCGACAATAAACAGCATGTCACTTAGCTCAAACTTCAAAAGTGCGCCAGTCTGTGCACAGGACTTGGGCTTTGGCGGGATTTCGAGGGCGGGCAGGATCAGGAGAATTACGAGGGGGGGTGGAGGGGTTAGGGTCTGGAAGGAGTCATCGCCGCAGTCACCGACATCGTTATGCGAATGCCGCCAGCAGGCTTCCGTGCTTTGCCAAAGTTTTTTATTTGTCATCCTCGTTCGGCGACAACGGCGAAACTTCCACCAGAGGAGGCGGTTTGGGTGGTCGCTGATGGGCGATAATAAACAGGCCCAGACCAGACCACACCCACTACCCACCCACTACCCACTAACCACCCACTTACCACCCTCACCACCCCCCATTGCAGGCTGTTCAAGGCGCAACGGCATGAAAAAGGCGCTGGCTGAAGTGTGTCTCCTGGTTCTCGAGAGCATCGTCGTCGTCAGGAACAGACGCTTGTTGATATTGCCTCACAGTGTGGCATTAATTGGGGCTACTCGGGTCGGATAAAGCCATATCTACACCTGGAGCTGCCGTCGGGATATGATTATACCCGCAAACAAAGAACAAAAAAGTTAGACGAAATGCATTTCAAGGAGCTACTTTCAAATTGCACAAGCTTGCTATTTTTCTTAAATTTCAGATTAGTTTTACATTATTGAGATATGAAACTGCACTGGGATCATCAAATATAACCCAGGAAGGATATGGTGCCCGACTTTCAAAATATGTTGCCTACTTTAAGGATTTAAGAACTGTTTTTTTTATAAAACTTCCTTTATTACTGCTGTTTCTGTTTTTCATATATAACCTGACTTTTTATACTTGTAAGTAATTAGCAGTTGCGTCAGTCCAAGATTAAATACCTACACTCAGGGAAAAACACCGTGCTAAAAACAAGTACAAACAGCCTTGATTTAAGAAAAATTGCATGCTTAACATTTAAGAACGTTCGTGCTCAAAAAATTCTCATATTGAGCACTTTTTGGATTTTTAATGTCTGCCAACTCTAATAATTCCCAACTGTTTATTCTGAAAGTACTCGGTATATAAGGCGCATAAATTAGACAGTTTTAATGCCAAGTCGTAAGTAAACTTAAAATATTAATATTATTTATATATATCTCTATTATTTCGTTTCAGTTTCCAATACTTATTTCTCTTACTAGCATAAAATAAAAACTCATTTTAATTTCATAATATTTATATACTGATTTAAGAATTATTCGTCCTTAAATCATGCCTGCAACTTTTTACTTTATTATTAAATCGTTCTTGTTTTTAGTCCAAATATGACTTGATTTAAGAATTATTCATACTAGATTCAAGACCGAAAGGTTCTGAAATCTAGTATTTTGGGTCTTAAAAATTCGTGCTCGAAAGTAGTATTTTGTTCTCGCGTTCTGTATTTTCCATGCTTGGCGAAGTTTTGACACCGAAAATACTAGGTTCAAGCACGAAATACTTGATTTTTTTTCTGAGTGTACCTTTAAAATAATAAGGTTTTTTAGGGAACGGTTAACAAAAATATGTAGTTGTATATGAAACAAATATAAAGGTACACAAAGAACATTAATCCGAAACATGTTCAGAAGTAAAATAAAACATTTTAAAACGTAAAAAACATGTGTATAAAGGGTTTTACTTTATAAAATTGTTTCAGCCTGTCTGGGCATCAAAACTATTGGTTGTTTTCTGGGTAAACTCTATTAAATATAAAAATATAAGATGTTCAATGAAAAAGAAAGAGGTGCCTTTAAGAATGTGTGTTTTCCAAATTTCAGCATTAATTCAGAATATGTTTATATAACAGTTCTCTACTTCAGCGCCTTGTCAGTCGAAAAATAATTGAATGTGCCCCACTGTACGTGTAAGCGGTTTGATTGTCATGGCAATTCGAAAGCATTTGTCGGTCGCTCGCCCCCAGCACACACATTTGGAATGGAGGCAACGGCAACGGGAAAGGCAACTCGACGCAGACACAGGATTCCACATCCCTGCGAAGTCGTCTCCTGGCAAATACCATTCCCTATCGTCCTTCCTCTCCCCAAACCCCATTCTGTGAGCCAGCACAGGAGCAACATCAGCAACATCAGCAACACCAACAGCAACAGCAGCGTCGGCACGGCAGCAACATCAGCCACTTGCCACATTTGGCTTTCTGCCAGGACCAGACTCCAGGACTCGTGCGGTGGGCGGAGGACTCGGCGTGGGTGTGGCAGCTCGTCGGCAACAACAAGGACATTTTACAGCAGCAACGACTGTGGCAGCAGCAGCAGCAACTAAAAATGCGACGTGCGAGATTATCGTGTCGCTTGTTGTTGGTCGTCCCCGTCCGTAGTCTGCACTCCGTAGTCCCGTGGTCCGTAGTCCCCGGTCCGTAGTCCCAATCCCGCACAGACACACACTCTCTGTGGCTGCGCAAAAGCTCCCCCGCCACTCCGGCCATCCCGGCACCCTGAATCCCCCGCCCCGCCTCCTCGATGGCGACACCATCACCACCAGGCGGCACAACTTACTGGCGCTGACGGAGGCAACTGCTGACTGCTACTTATGGCGCTGATGATGGCACAATGACAACAACAACGATTTCGGACAAACGACTGCGGACTAAGGGATACCTCTTATATTAGAATTAATCTGTTGGAAAATCTCAAAAGTAATATATTTACACACAGAAAATATGGTTAAGTTATGGATAAGTTTTGCGTACAGTTAGCTCCTCAGCTTTTTTCTTTTTTTTTTGGTCAAGTCGAGCTTCAGTTCTGGTTAAGTTATGGTTAAAATTTGCTAAAATTATACTTAAATTTAAAGTTATGGTTAAGCTTTGGTTTAGATATGGTAAAGTTATCGTTAAGCTATGTTTAAGTAATGGTTAGGCTATGTTTAAGGTATGGATAAGTTATTGTTAAGCTATGTTGAAGTAATGTTTAGGCTATGTATAAGTTATGGTGTACAGTCAAGTTAGTTACGGTTAGATACTTCCTTTGGATAAGTTATGGATAAGTTAAAGCTTAATACTTTTTGAACTACAAAGCACAATTGAAGCTAAGGAGCAGATATTTGTTTTTAAATAATTTATTAAAAAAATTGTATAATCGTAAAACTATTTTGGAAGTAAGTTTAGAGTGCGGAATTTTCTATTCATTATAAGTATTATTAAGATTTCAGTTTGTTTTTTTAAATAAAATTGTTTAAGTATATAATTAGAACTCTTAAATTATATTTAATTAAATTACAATAGGAAAAATTTATATTTTTTCACAGCAAGTAATGGTGCCTAATGGTTATTATTATGATGTAAGCAAAATATATCTAAGAACGTATTATATAAATGCCTGGCATTTATGAAGTGTACGCATATACCCGCAAATACCCCTTAGTCGGGCTCAGCCGGAAAGTATGCAGCGTGCGCACGCGAGGATAACGACTCGACTCTACTCGACTCGAGGGCGATGACGATGACGATGGCGAGGACGAGGACGAGGACGAGGACGACAAGCAGCCCGACAGAGTGTGCGTGGGCGGGACAAACGAGCAGGAGGCTTCGCCCTGATGTGGACGAGGATGTGGCTGTGGGGCAAGGGTAAGGGTAAGGGATATGCCAGTGTGGACGAGGATGTGGCTCCGGGTGGGGTGGGGGTGGTGGTGAACTGTGTGCTGTGTGCGACTAATTGGGTGAGAGAATGTGGGTGCTTAAATTGGTTTCGTGCTTTCGTGTGACGCGTGCGGAGGCGTGTAAAGCCTGGCGTGTCGCTGTGTAAGTGTCCCTGGGTGTGGGTGTGTGCGTGTCCCAGAGTGTGTGTAAGTGTGCAGGCGACAGGCTGCTCTGTGGGTCCTCCTCCTCCTTCGACACCACCTCCCCCTCACCCAGGATGTTTTTGTTGCTGTTGGCAGGAATGCTTGATGGCGTGACGGCAGCCGGTTGTTGCCAGCAATCGAAACGAACTAGGGAAAAAAGTGGGGGAACTACTCTGCAAAACGAATCCTAAAATACTCTACATAATCGGAGAAAGTGATATGTGATATGATGTGATAGTCTATTTAAGGTATAGTCTATATAGGTATTAAAATATAAAAATTACATTTATTAAAATTAATAAAAAGGAATTGGACAGCTGTGAGACTTGAACCCGTATCATAATTAAATTTGTAAGTCTACTAATGTTTAAGATTCAAGTTAAATCGATTGTGAAATTAAAATTAGTTTAATTTAAACTATATAAGGTTTAAAAAAATGAATTGGGGCTTGAACTCGTACCCTAATCAATTTTATAAATCTTCTAATGTTTAGGTTTCAAGCTAAATTGATAAAGATAATTTCAATTAGATTAATATAATCCGACTAAATGAACATTTTTTAATAAACTTTTTGTGGTCCGCATGGTAAAATAAAAGAGTTACGACTCTAATACATACTTTTAGCTTATATTGTTAAAACCGAATACTATATTTTTGAGCAACCGATTCAGAATGGAATTCGTAAGGGTTTACCTATTGCTTAAGTTTGTATTTAAATTAATTTAGAACCAAATTGTATAAACGACTATCCTCTGTATCATTAATTAAAATCCAGTCTAATACTAAGCAAACCCTTTTCTTGGAAAAGTACGCGACCCTCGAGAAGGGTAAACAAACACAATTTACCCCGCCTGGATGTGGATTTTATTTTTGCGTGCTTTTTCCAGCACAGCAATGCCGACTCACAATTTCAGTTCTGTGCTCGGGATTTGTGAGTTCGTCCGTGCAAGGACTCTTCACCCGGCCAACCCCCGCTGGCGCAGCTTGTTTATGTCATTTTGCTAAGGCCGCCCGCATGCATGACTAGAACTCGACTGCTTTAGCTGCACTTCAGCTCGACCACCTCCGCGAGGAAGCACTGCTCCGCCGGGATTCGTCCAGTGCCCGGTTGTCCTGGATGAGGATGATCGTGTGCTCGTTCTCGGTGGCCACCATCAGCTCCTGGCGGCGGGTGCGCAGTCGCACGTAGCTCAACTGGTCCCCGGTCTCCATGTCCTGCACCATGGTGCGGGCCAACGCCACCAGCGGCCTCATCCGGTTGGCGTACATTTGGGCAGCGTTTTCGGGCAAATTGGTCCGGACGGGCACGCCATCCCCGTCGACCAGGACAGCCCCAACCACTCCCGGCAGGAGGAGCAGCCGATCGAACGTGGCCTGCACATTGCTCGATGTCATGGCTTTCCAGGCCCAGGTGGAGAAGGGGTCAGCTTAGTGGGGAAGAGTTTTGAATTTATTCTAGTCTCGTCTGAGTGTGTGACTTAAAAAAAGGTGTACAAATTTGAATCTTTGTTTAAAATGTCATTACATATATTTCTTCATGGGATATTCATAAATTTGTACTTCCTTAAGTGAAGAACTGATTATTATAAATTGATTTGTTTATTAAGTGAGTGTGAAAAGATTTAGTTGCTGCTCCAAATATTAAGATATGAAAATATTTTAAAAAAAACGGAACATTTTGAAGTCAGTTTATAACTTTCTTTATAACTATGTTCCGGTACAATTTTTTGTTCAATCATAATTAAAATAAGTTTAGATCGAATTTCGTATTTTTAAGAAAAATATACATAAAATCAAAGTTTGCTATTAATCGAATGTTTAGAATACTTACATAGCCAATGCTTAGAGTAATGCTGTGTGTAGTGATTTTTGATACTCTTCGACAAAAGAAGTTCAAATATTCCAAAAAATTAACTGATAAAGTAATTAGAACTTTGAAATTGTTGTACAAAAGAAGTTTGAATATTGAACCAAATTAACTGATATAGTAATTTACTTTAAAACCCGCCTTTGATTTAAACATGAATCATAGCCCTTAACATCCACTCCTAATAAAACTTCAAATCACGTAAGATGCCGCTGGGAAATGAATTGAGTCAATCCTCTAATTGAGTCTTTTATTATGTGTACTTATATTAGGGGACCAGTAGCCAACCCATGTCCATGGACTTGCACTTATTTTCGCCGAGGGAGTGCGGAGCACCCATGGGGCTATTGGCAAGGACAACCAGCCATCCAGCCAGCCATCCTTCCGGACGCCATGTGAAAGGTTGGACCCAATCCGTGGTGCAGCACGCGTCGTTCGGGGATGGGAAAGGAGGAAGTGGGACAAACAGCGAGCCCAGACGAGGCGCCACCACCCACGGTGATGGTGCAGGCGGCAGTCGCAATCATTCCTGGCAGCATGCGGCCCCGGCTGGCGACAAAAACGGAGTGGGGGTCACGTAAATGGCGTTGAATTACGGCCCGACAATCGAAGCGTTGAAGTCTCAAACGAAAAGTTCACTCTTGCCCAGCAGCCCGTGGCCACGGCCTGTGCATCATTTATAAGCCGGGCTAGGCCACAGATTGTCTGGAATCGAGTCGAGTGCGCACGCACGCAACGAGGCCGATGATGATGAGCTCAGGACGAACAAACATGGAACTTTATGACTGTTGGATTGGTTGCCTTGGGTTGGGGTGTCGTCACGTGCCGGTCTGCTACTGACTCCCGGTTTGGGTTCGGGCACGAATCCGGGCCAACGCCTCCGTTCTTTCCTTTCCGCCCGCCAGATCCATGTTGTATAATTCATTTGGCGTTGCGGACCCTTTCGCCGTGCGTAACTATTTATTCAATAATTCGACGTAAAAGCTTGACACGGCAATCCAGGGGTTGTGCAGCCAGACATCCAATGAGTCTCTTCCGAACATGCGGCTGTAGATACTTAAATTCACACACCAACTGTCAAATTTTTCAAGCAAAATCCATTTTAATATAATAGTAATCAACGCTGCTAAGGGTTTCGGTAATGAGTTTCTGATCAATTTTGTGTCAAAGGTAATGTTTTCAACATCAAATAATGCTGAAAAGCCAAATAATTACAGTTCACGGTTTTATCGACTTCTAACAAAACATAAAATTATGGTTCAATTTAAGGCAAACCGGTTTTTGAATGTTCAAAAATCGCATTCAGATATTAAAGTTATACCCTTCCCTCCATATAAAAGTATACTTAACATTTAGTAAAAGTTAGTATTTTAAATTTGGCGCGAATGTCCTAAGCAAGTTGGCATCCCCAAGTAATAGATATCATAAATAGCGCTGCCCACTGTTTCACATAGCGAAGTCACAAACCCACGTAGCGGTGACACCGTTTCAATTAGCGGAGTTGCCCACCAAAAAGCGTTGCCACCCTTGCGATGTATCAATCACGACATAAATATTTATTTTATCGAAAGTATCGATATATTGATATTTTTATGTATTTTTAACATCCCCGACTGCAACCCTGCGTTTTTTAACGTGCTACCTATTTCCGCTTGCCTTCCTCTTTCTTTTTGCAATTGTCAGCCGACGAAGGTGGGTGTTCTTTCTTGCGTTTCTCTCTCTAGAATAACTTAACTAATATATTATTATTACTCGCAGTGCTCTTTAACTTGAACTATCAACATGGTTGCCGTCAAGAAACAAAAGAAGGCGCTGGAGAGCACCAATGCCCGTCTGGCTTTGGTGATGAAGTCCGGCAAGTACTGCCTGGGCTACAAGCAGACCCTCAAGACCCTGCGCCAGGGCAAGGCCAAACTGGTCCTCATCGCCAGCAACACCCCCGCCCTGAGGTGAGATCTGCAATGTGCTACTGAGAAGTAGATTTCCACTGCGCCCAAGTTGCCGTTTTTGTTGGAACCATATGGAGTCTGCCTTAAAGCTGACTGAGAAGTATGATTCCGAGCGGAGTATTTGATGGAAACTATGGAGTAGTACAATCAATTGTCAATCTCAAGCTTCGGACTGGTTCGCTTTATATCTGCGCCTCCACATGGTTCCATCAACAACGGGTCCCACACACCACTTGGGGTAAGAAGTCTATACATAACCTTAATTTGCTACCATTTTATGATGATCCTTTTGATTCCGAATGCCTTGACGAATCCTTTTTATACTAGAGACTCTTTCTGACTGTAAAAACAGCCAGGAGATCATGCTTACCATAAGTAAAGACTATTGCTAATGTACCATTTGTTCTTTCTCCATTTCAGGAAGTCTGAGATCGAGTACTACGCCATGTTGGCCAAGACTGAGGTCCAGCACTACAGCGGCACCAACATTGAGCTGGGAACCGCCTGCGGTAAATACTTCCGCGTGTGCACCCTGTCCATCACCGATCCTGGAGATTCGGACATCATCCGCTCGCTGGAGTCGGCCTAAACTTATTTTTAATCGAACAAGACGACACAATAAAGTTTTGTATGAGGAGAGATAATGTTAAAAATAAAATCTTATTATTTTGATAATTCACTATGGTTTGAGTAGGATTTTTGTTTGGTTCGATATAATCCAAATATCTATCATCACTTTATTGGGGCCATCTATTGCTGACAGTTCATTATTTCCATTGCAAGTAAATTTCGAAAATATGATACAGGTCAATATCGATTCGATTAATATAGTTTTATTTATTTTTTAAAATATATACATACATAGTTAAACATTTATTGTCATTTTTCTCACTTTTTAAGTACAAATGGTTCAGATAGGACACGTTTACCTATGAGCTCTATATCCATTTACAATTGAGCCCGTCAACAGCCTTACACTTAAAAAATGTGGCTTTCAGCTTTAAATATTGTTTCCCTTGGCCTGCAAAATATATGAAAAATTTAGATTTAAACCAATTACATTTTTTAGTTGGTACTTACATTTTCGGCAACTTTCAGTAGATGATCAAAACTGGCCTTCCCCGTCTGCATGACCATTCCATGGAACACTTTAGCTTCCGACTCCGTTAACAGTTCGTAGGGAGAACCAAATTCGACCACTTGACCAGCGTCCAGAACCAGGACCTTGTCCGAGTCCATGATGGTGTTCAAACGGTGGGCTATAGTAAGTACAGTGCAGTCCTTAAATTTGTTTCGAATGGTGGTTTGTATTAGGGCGTCCGTCTGGGGGTCAACATTGGCCGTAGCCTCGTCCATCACAAGGATTCGATTCTCGCGCAGAATGGCCCTTGCCAAGCAAACCAACTGGCGCTGTCCCACGCTGAAATTGGTCCCACCCTCGGAGATGCTGCTCTGCAGACCCGTCGGCAATTCGGAAATTTCCTCCTTGAGGTGAACCTCCTCTAGAGCATTCCAAAGCTTTTCGTCCGGATATTGCTCGAAGGGATCCAAGTTGTAGCGCATGGTGCCCGAGAAGAGCACCGGTTCCTGCGGTATAATAGAGATTTTGCTGCGGAGGTCGTGGAGACCCATTTCTTTTGTGTCTCTTTTGTCGATGACTATTGCCCCTTCGTTGTAGGAAAGTCGGAAGAGCGCGTTAATCAGCGAGGATTTGCCTGCACCTGTGCGTCCCACGATGCCCACTTTCTCCCTGCGCTTAATCGTGAAGTTCAGACCCTTGAGCACGAAATCCGCATTGGGATCAGGCACATATCTCAAACATAGATCCTTTGTCTCCAGTTCACCCTCCTCAGGCCAACTCTTTGGCGGTTGCTTGTCCGCCGGCGACGTAAAATCTCCTTCGGACTCCAGGTCCTTGTACTCGAGCACTCGCTCCACCGAGGTCATTGAGTTTTCCAGCTCGGCGGATTGTCGCATGCCCCACTGTACCATTCCCGTCATGCCCAGAGCTTGGGTGATTGCCAGACCTATCTGGCCAGCGTTGTGCAGAGGGGGATTGAAGAAGCCGTGCAGTATCACCGATATCACGTAAGCCACACAGAAAAGATCCAAGTAGTAGCCGAATGCACGGCTGGTAGAGACAAATGTGTAGTAGCCGGAGCTGTGTAGATCCTGGTAGTTGTCGTACTGCCCAATAAGAGTTTTCTGAGCGCCCATGGCCCGTATGGTGGGAAGTCCATTGAGAGTGGCACTGAAGTGCGAGTACATTGGCGACCGAGCCACTGCCTCCAGACGCTTTACATCCCTCGACGTGCTCAGGTAAAAGTCCCGCCAATAGTAGAATGCCAGTACCATGGCTAAAGTGTTGATCAGGTACCATGGGTTGGTCACGCACAGCACGCAGATGATGCCCGACAGGGTGAGGAAGATCTGTATGCAATCCAGCATAACGGCGGGCATCACCTCATCCACCTGTCCCAGATCATTAGCGAATCGGTTGAGAATTCGGCCAGAAGGGTTCGTGTTGAAAAAGTAGAGGGCCGTGCGAGACAGGCCGCGAAACATGGAGTTGTGCAGTT